TCAGTCCTTACCAGGGAACAGCAGATTGAATTTGCTCTATGTGAAAACCTTTGCTTGCAGAAGAACTTCATTAGAAAATGTTTTTTCTCTGCTATAGGCTTTGAAAGTGCAAAGAGGTTTCCTAGAGCAGGCTTCATTTTATGGTGTATTTTTGTACAAGAAGTAAGCCTTTTTCCAGTCCTAGCACACCAGGACAGAACACGCCACTTCCCACACTTCAGGGCCCTGTGTTCAGCACTGCTTTCAAACTCAACCCTCTGCAGGTGATGTTCAGGTCTGGGTACCCACCAGAACATGTTGTATTATGCTCTGCATATGCTTTCTGTGAGCTATGCTTTTGCTTCTGTCCTTGAGTGAGAACAGACAGAGGCAACTGAGTTCTGCTGGAAAATGTTTTAGTTCAGATTCTCAAAGTTGCTTCCTTCCAAAAGAAAACAAAGCAAAGGTGTCTGTGAAGCAGAAGTCCAATGATGTGGTGGGTAGACTGCTGGTAGTTGCTGATCCAAGTGCAAGGGGAGCTTGATTGCCTTTCTGCTTCAATCTTTTCTTTCCCATGCGTGTTTTCTTTTTATCTGAATTGCACCACTATGGAATTATTTGCAGAATGGTACTCCATATATATGTGGGATTTAAAACCATAACTGATGCTGTGCAGGATGTCACTCAATCGGTTTTATTTTGCTTTATTTTTTATGTATTTTCTGGTATCCTGTACATTGCAGTGGGTGTGAAAATAGTATTTTAATATTTGTACAAAGTTTAATTTAATTGTTCTATGTATATAACTGCATTTCTAAATTAAAAAAATTCTTTTGAAGTGAAGCTATAGTTTCTTCTGTTTGTTTGGGGGGGGGTTAACTGCTTAGGCCTTGCGGCCTGGAAATCTAGTAGATCATTAATTAATATGTTGCAGTTGTGAAAACGAGGATGAAGCTAAACCTAGGGAAGCTCAAGTGGCTTGGGGAAGAGAGGTTCAGAGTTGGTGCAGCCTTAGAAGGATCGAGTTTCCAAGTTCAGAAGCAAAGGCTGCCCTTGGTGTGCTTGCATAGAATTCCTTGAGGAATGAGGCCAGCCTGGGCAGGGGGAGAAAGGTTTAAAGAGATTATGTGTGGTATGAGTGGATTTCAGAGAGGAAGACAGGGTAAATACAATAAATGGCTAATTAATTTTTGAGTCTGTATAAGAACAGTAATGTATAGGAAGAGAGTGCTGTTTTTAGAGGGGAGATAGCTTTCATTGGTGAAATAATAATCCCAAGTGGGTAGCAGGACAGTTTGGGAGACATCAGAGAGATCTACAGCTAGATGGGCGAGTGCAGAGGGGAGGCTGGGGCAGGCTCTGCTCTTCCTTCTTCTGTAGTTGTGCTGCATTGGGAGCATGGGAGAAGCAGGAACTGCAGAGGAGTAGACACTTACTGTTCTTTCAGTGGGATATACAGTTCATTACTATTTTTATTAATGTTTGTGCTCTTCCTTCTTCTGTAGTTGTGCTGCTACAGTTGTACTATTTTTATTAATGTTTGTTTTGCTTCAAAAACTAAGGTCTTTTCAGGTAAGTGTAGTAGTGAGTGTTCCTTTCTTTTAACAGAATCTACCAGTAATGTAATAGGGAAGGGAAGGGAAGGAGGGAGGAGATCCCTTGTTCAAAGCATGAGTGTTCCTTTCTTTTAACAGAATCTACCAGTAATGTAATAGGGAAGGAGGGAGGAAATCTTTTTGGCCAGCTTGTTCAAAGCAGTCCTCAAAGATGTTAAGATTTTGTGTAATTATAGACATAGCTTTTATTCTTTGGGAAGGAGCAGCCAGGTTAAAGAGAAGAGAAGGGGTGACATCTACCTTCCTCCTATTTCCATTTGTTCCAAAAATTATTCCCACACAGGAAGCAGATCTTACTGTAATTTTACTGCTGCGAAACTGGAGCTCCCTGGTCTGTGCATACCTTCCTGTACCAGATAGTTGGCACATGGGAGTCATTGCCCTCCAGGAATTGTTTTTAATTATTGTTTTTCACTGGGTGATGGTCTCCTGCCACAGCAATTCTGGCAGCCAGGAATGCGCCCTTCTTGACACATTGGAAATTATTTGTCATCTCTGGTGTGTACTGGGAATGAGAAATGACTGCGGGAGACAAGCCTGAAGGAAGCCAGCCTGTGGTAGCTGGTCTGGGCAATCTTCCTTGACAGCTGGCCCTTTGGTGAAGGGCAGAAAGGCCAGGGCACACAGGAACATCTCTGCTCCAGAAAAGCAGCCCCGTCACAAAGACCGAGCCCGCCACAAAGCCTCTTGGAGAAACTCGCTCAGGAAAGGGGATAGATGGGCTACGGCCCTCACCAGGCGTCCTGCCAGCCAGCGCACGGCGCTGCCGGGCTCGCAGCCAGGGTATTCCATACACGTTGGATTGTCCGGGAGCGCAGAGCCGCGACACAGGGCCCCGGGCAGCCGGGAGCTCTGTGGCAGCACAGCGCGGAGCGGCTCCTCCCTGCGCCGGGCCGCGTCCCGCAGCGCCGCCAGCGGGAAGTTCTCTCTGTTCCTTTTTGCAGGACGATGATGTTTACCAGCAAACCCCTTACCTTAACCCTCTGTGAGACACAGGCAGAGCTGAGCAGCCCTGAGGTTACTTGGCATAAAGTGATCGTCCTTTGACAGCTCTTTGTCATGTGGTCCATGCTGAGCCCATGATGCATCTGTGGGATATAGCTCAGGCTTTTCATGTTACACCAGTGAGGAAAAAAACCAGACTTTGGGGCAAGAGGGCACAGACTGGTTCCAGTAGTCAAGGCACAAATACCCTTGACTCCTTGTCTCGACATGCCCCTCTGATCTAGCAGCCCTTCTAGTGGTTGGTGTTGGAGATCACGCTGAGTTTAGCAGCTCTGTGTGGCATGCAGGGTTTATCTTCCAGGCTCATGTATCCCAGTGAGGCTGGGGGACACACTTCATGGGACAGACATTCTCTTCCTTGTCCCCACATGTGTCAAACCACAGCACCCAGTGGCTTGAGCAGCCAAGCATCACTGGGCGCAGAGCTGATGCTGTCAGGGAAGGAGGGGGAAGCTGTTGTGAGCCAGAGCATCCTCTGAATTCCAAAGAGCACCAGGGAGACCTGTCTTATTCATGGGGTTCAGTGGCAGCTGGGGGTGAGAGGGCAGGTGGGAGAGCTGGCAGTGGCAGTGCACGACCTTCCTGACAGGTCACTGGCAGCTGGGGGTGCTGTTGGCTGGACTGGGCAGAGCTGCTGGCTGCTTTGCTGGATTTGCTTCTGCCCCAGCTCTGGCCATCAGGCAGATCCTCCACTAAGAAGAGATAACATGTTACCTATAATTAGAAGGTATGTATGTTCATCTTTAAAACCACATTTAAAAATCTCATGTTGAGAAGATCAGGGGCCAGATTTGGGAGTAGCAGAGTTTTCCTATGGAGCCAGAAGTGGAAGCCTGGTACCCAAGGGTGCAGATAAGCTGGGTTTCCCATTTTGTGCTCTTCTCCCTGGGTGGTGCAGGGCAGTATAGAGCTTCCTGTGGGTGACAGGACTCCAAACTTGCACCACTTTCCTCCATCTCCATGAGCCGCCCGCACAGAATGGCAGAAATGTCCCTGTAACAGCTGTTTCGTGGAGATTTATTATCCTGGGTTCAACTCTGCAAGATAGAGTTATTACCATCCTACAGTCTGTTTCCCTCATAAATGTAACCTGGCTCCAAATAATTGCTTCCTCCAGGAAGCTTTAAAATAGTTGATTTGTTAGTGAAACTCTTCAGTATTTCTCTTATTGCGTCCCTGTGCTTTTTTCAACAGTTTTCCAAATAACTGGGAATTTTATCTTTGTGGCATTTCTGAGAGTGGGAAGGCCCACACTGCCCTTGTTGATGGAGAGGGGAAACAACAAAAGCACAGAAAAGTGAAGTAACCTTCTCCAGGTCATACCAGACCTGTTGCAGGCAGGGAAACAAATGCTTTTAATGACACCTTCCCCATGTCTTTTTCCAGACCTCTGCTTTAGCTGGGAGCTCCTGTTTGTTCTGCACGTGGTGACTGAGGGATGGCCCCTTTATTCCAGCCAGGCTGTGCCCGAAGGGAATGACTGAAATGGTAATTCAGAGATGTTGATTGTCCTGTCGTGGAGCCAAGGGTAGCACCTGCTACATAATCACTCTCTTCTTACTCTGCCCTGTGGCTAACGGGTTTGAGATAAACCAGTCAAGGCCCTGCCCTCGGTATCAAATGGAGGCCCTGATGTTCCCAGCCTAAGAAGGGTCAGTGGGGACTCTGGCAGTCGTGCAGGGAGGCTGCCTTTCTTCTTTACTGAATTTTGGCAGCAAAATCAGGAATTTCAGAACAAGGTGCTAAAATGCAATGGAGTGTGGGAGGGGTCTGGGCGCAAGGGCATGCGGTGCTGCTCATCTGAGGCACTGGAATAAGGTTTCCTTGCTTACTAGTGCAATAGGGAACAAAGTGTGTTGCAGTTTTGGTTGGTTTATCAATTAATGGGCTGGTCCTGGTCCCAGTGAGTTGAGAAGCAAGGATTAATGCCTCGTAGCTTCTTCATGCAATTAGCAAAGACAATTATGAGAGATTCAGGGAGATTAAATGTTTTTCTTCCTTTACTTCTCTCTCTGTTCTGCATTTGTATGAAGTCATCTTCACTTTACACCTGGGGTTACTTTTTGTAGTTTCTGAGGGTGCCCATGGCCGTGGCATTTTGGCCCTTCCCCCAGGAGCACAAACCCACCAGCAGCATCTTATTGCTAACCTGAAGCCTGGGGGGTAAGGAAGGGATGTAAATGAGGGAAGAGAAAGCACTCCTTCCAGTCTCCCTCCAGCACTGTCAGGGGTGACACTGCAACCCAAACATGATCTCTCAGGGCATAGGGGAGATGCTTTGCCTCCCAGCTTAATGACTGAGTTAATAAATTCTCCAAACACGATGCCCTTCTGGGCACTTGATGCAGTTTCCTTTGAAATTTTCCAAATCACAAAGTACGATATTTTTGCTTTTTAAAGTCCAAAAGATCTTTATTACTTTATTGTGTTCCATAACCAAGAAAAAGAAAGTTATTTAGAACTTTTATGTGTCTCCTTCTTAGTCTAGTGAGGGAGCAGAGGAATATTACTGCTTGAGGGGGATTCCCACCCTCCCCTGCATCTTAAAGAAAGCTTGCCTTGTTTTAAGTGTTTTCCTTCTGCCCGTCTCCATAGAAAATATAAGGGATATGGGATCTGGTATTCATTATAAGCTCCCAACAGAGTAAGATCAATGCAACTTTAAATAAAGCAGCTGTGAGCCAGTATGTTATTTAGCTGCTGAAGTTAAAAACGTGCTTAACAAAAGCAGAGCATAATCATTTGGTGAGGGTCTTTATTCCCTCTTTCAGAAGCTTATGTGATACCGTCTTGTGGCTGGTGCTTCACAGCCACCCAAGGCAGATCTTGCCTGAATTTTCATGTGTACCTACCTGTCTACTAGAGTGTGGAGCCTAGATCATGAAGCACCCGGCTATTACATAGCCATGGCTACTTTTACCTTTGAAATTAGGGATGTCAGTTTAAGCATAAAACCACCATTTTCTTCCTTGAATGTGAAAAGGATTTGGTAAAGCAAAAAAAAAAAAACCTTAAAATCATCTTTTCTTTAAATAGGGAATGATTTTTTTTTTAATGCTCTTATTTTGTTTTTCTTCCTTTTTTGTTCTAGCTTTGGAAAAAAAAAAAAAAAACCCAAACAACAACAACCCAACCCAAAATGGGATTGAAGCCCCAGTGCAGCTGTCAGGAACACTTCAAGTTTCCTTGTTTATACAGTTTGGTCAGTGTGTTATACTTTGAGTGCAGAGCCCATCAGTATTTTGCCCAAGTCACTCCTCTTCCATGAAGCTGCCTGCCAGAGCCAGTGCTTTATGTCCATATTTCCATCTCAGTCAGACAGCAGAGCTAGGGTCATGGAGAGCATTTTTCACCAGACAGGGAGTTCATTTTCCTTCCTCTCAGCAGCACAGTCCAGAGCAGCATAGGATGATCAGGCCAGCCTTGTAACATGAAATCAGCCTAGCCTGAAGAAATGGCTTCTGAGCTTCCAGGAGATACCCTCCCAGCAACAGATGAGGAGGGGTGGGGGGCACCTGTGGGAGCAGCAACATATTTAAGCATCATGATATTTATAAATTTTATCAGCTGTCTTGCAGCTGAGTCTAAGACATGGGAAAAACAAAGCAAGGGTCACACAAGGCCAATGAAATTATCAGAGACTGGAAGGACTTACAAGAAAAGATGAAAAGGGATAAATATGTGTATCTCACCTATGCAGGACAGCTAAGGAGGGTTGTTACTACTATCCAAAAGGAACAGTCCCCAGGGAAGAAAAAGGAGCCTTTATCCTATTCCAAGGGCTTGTAACTCAATGTGACAGGAGAAATTCTGAAACATAAACATGGGTTAAACAGACAAAAAATAAAGTGAAGTGACTTCCCACAGAGAGCAGCAGCAGCCAAGGCTCTTGGCTTATCTCTGTGCTGGGGAGGGGACATATTTTCCTCTGGAAAGGCAGAAGGTGGTGGTGAGGAGACAGAGCAAGTAATGAAGAATGGACTGACCTGCCAGGCTCTTCGTGTTCCAGCTTTCTGCCTGTCCAGAATAGCCTGTGCCTGTTGCTTCCCCTCCTTGCCATTCAGTGCCTGAATTTGACAGTAGTCACAAGAGAACTTTTCTGCTTGTGTATATGCTGGGAACTGGCAAACTAGGGATGCTGGAGAGTCATGGAGCAGAATCAGACCCTTGGAAAAGCTGTTGTGGCATTACTTAATGTGCTGTGCAGCTCAGGGGGCTGCATGAGAGAAGCCATGGCTGTTTTAGAGCTGCAGAAATGGTGCCAAAGAGAAAAGAGATCTGCACAACCATGTATTTTGTTTTGGGCAGACACATATTCAGAACACTGTGGTGGCCAAACACTTTACTCTAGAGCAATAGGTGGAATATGTGCTTGAGTAACTGTGCTTTGCAGCCTGGCGTGCACTGCAGCTCACTGCACATCACTGTCAGGGCTCTGAGGTTAACTTGGCTCGAGCTGACCCTCATACAGACCTTTAAATCTACACAGGGAGTAGCATGGCTCAGACAAATCCCTATGCTTAAGAAATAAGAGCTGAACCACTAGGGAGGTGTTCCCCCGAGCCTTCCAGCTGCTGCCCCTGGGAGCTGTCCCACGTCACATCTATGGTTGCTGGTGCTGATCACTCCTTAATGCCTGCAGATGAGAGTGCTTTGTGGCACCAAACACCCCCTTGCTTATGAAGGGCTTCTTGCAGACAGAATCTGTGTCTGAGGATAACACAAGCCAAAATCTGCTTAATTGTCTCTTATATTTAGACAACCTTTCCAGCACTTGTGGCTGAAAGGGAAATTTTCAGAGAATTAATTGTCTTCTTGAGGGCTTGGCTGGCTGGCATTATGGGTTTGCAGAAGGATGAATTCCAGTGCCCTCACTAATTATTCTATCTCTGTGTTGTTGTATTTGTCACATAGATCATGGGATAGTTTAAAGCTCAAGAGCCTGATGTTACCTGGTGGCACAGTCCCCAGTAGGGAATAAGCACTTCAGAGATAAATTCCCTGGTGTGGATATGGTGAGATGTGGACCTCATTAGTACTCCTCTCACAGCAGAGCCCTGTCAAGTGGGAGGAGTGATAGTTCTGGTTCAAAAAACCCAAAATAATTCTTACAAGAGTATCCCTGAAAGCTGAGTTGGTAAAATGGAAGGAGAGAGAACAGCAAGAATGAGAATCTGGGAGCAGAAACCTCCAGAAACAGGCCTGTCACTGAACTGACTGTAGAATCAAATGACATCTACAGAAAGACCATGTATACATGAATCTTTAGGCAATATGAAAAGAAACGCCTCGGTATTGGTATGAGAACATTCAAAGGGTTATCATGCTTGTATATACACACACCTTTTCAAAGTAACTAAAGTGACATATAAATAAAATACAAGTTATGCATAATTCCTGGGTGGTTACAAAGGTACTGAAAATACAGTTTGCTTTCCAGCAACATCTGTCAGAAGGCTGAAGGAAGCATAATGTCATATATATATATATATATATATATATTCCAATCCTTTTCAGGAAAGGGAATGAAATCTTGTCATTTCAATGAGGATCAATTTCAATGAGGCAAGCTTTGGTCCCTTTCCCTGCACTTCAGGTCATCCCATTAACTTTTATTGGTTTTGTTCATTTCAGATTTTTCTTTTAATTTTTTCTTAGCATTTCATTTCTTCAGTTTCTTCTCTTGTCTCTTTATTTACCTTTCTGGCCTGCTTTTGGGATTTCAGTGGGAATAATTTGAGCAACTTTCGGTCCTTTTCACTGCACCTCTTTTCATCTCAGTACATTTGGTTGTAGTCATGCCATTTGCAAATTTTCTGGATTTTTTCAATTGCACTTGATTTGATCATATCTTCTTTCCAGTGTATTTGGTGTTCTTGGTTCTCTGATTTCAAGATTTCATTCCGTTTCCTGAAAGGTAGAATATACATTTTTGTGTAAGTTTTTTCCTTTTTTGTTTCTGTTTTAATATAGGTAATGTGATCTCTGTTTTAAACAGTCTCTTGTACTTACAGCCTATTGACACGTTTCCTGGACTGGGCAAGTATGTGGTAGAATGTTTTAATGTTGTTTTTCCTCAATTTAACTGTGTCCTAACAATAAGAAATAAACACAGCATTGATTGGGCTTGTATTGTCCTCCCCAGACTTGAACGGCATGTGAAAATGGGGTGAGATGAACAGAAGGAACTTACAGCATTCATAACATTCCAACCTTTCACAAAGGTTTGGCTTCTATTCATCAAATATAGCAGAAAACAATATATATTCCTCTTTGTGAATGGTGTGGCATTCTGTGATGAGGAAACTGAAGTTATTGTTAAATCTCACCTTACATTCTGCCATTCACTTCATAACTTGGCCCTTAAATATCACACCCTCTTTTCTTATCTTCAGGGTATTTGAAACTCTTCCAGCCTGATTCATCTCATGTTTTAACCCTGCATGCTCTAATCTGTTTAACAAATTATTAATGCAGGTATTGAATGATTCCATGCTCAGAAGAGATCCCTGATTCCCCAAAGGAATTGTCTCTAGGCTTGTCAAGGAGCTGTTTTGAGTGCAAACTCTGAAAAAATTGTACTTTCAGCTTACAATGAATTTTATTTTGGCATTTTCCTAGTTACTTAAAAATGGACGAAGAGATTTATTATGGTCAGGGTTAACACATCTCTATTTCCCCCCCTTGCCTGATAACTTAGTTATTGCAGTAAGGAGTGTTGTATTCATTTGAAATGTCTTGATCTTGACTGCCTGCCCTGTTGGCAGAAGCTGCTGACCAGCCTACTGAATGAAAGTGTGTAAAAATTGATGATTTAATCTTTTGTTCCATTGCCTTTCTGACCTTTGAAGTCTGCCAATCGAAAAATCACTGCACCACTAGGAAATTAGGCATTTGGTATTGTGCTAGAGATTTCTCAGAAATGGTTCATTAGTTACTTCACAGAGTTTAAGGATTAAAAGTGCTGTTTTCTTGAGAAAAGGTGAACTTTCTTCATCCTATTCTTCCCCTATTATGACCTATGTTCTTGATACTCTGTTTAAAGTGAGTACTGTGTCTCAATTAAGCAAAAGGTGAAGACAACATGCTCAGTGTTTGCAATCTGCCCTCTGCTGAAAACAAAAACTGTTGTCAGTGTTAGTCCCTAGGTCTCTGTACACAAAGAAGGTGGTTTGTCAAAACAAAGACACAATATGATTTAAGCTGCTTGGAAATGTAATGGCAGACCATGGCAGCTGTTTGGGGGGTAGCTCTAACCTGAAGTTAAATCAGAAAGGGGCTTACATGGCTTTCAGAAAAGGGCCAGACAAGGAAGGACACATGAACCTGCAGATGATCTCCTGTTACCCTCGGAAGGTTTATAAATAGCTTTGACCCCATAAGGTGTTTTTGCAGCAGTCTGCAGCTTGCTCTCACAGTGTTCTGAGATTTCCTCACGTGTTTGCATTCAGCGTCTAAAAGTAAACACACTGAGCTGGGGTAAGCGTGTTCTGATCATTCAAATATTAACCCAAGATAAAAAACATCCTTTCCACTTTGTACCTGTAATCTTCATGCTGGACCAGGTTCCAGCTGCCCATCTGCAGCTGGCATAAATTTGCATAAAAGCTAAACTAAACCTTGTTGCATTTACAGATAATGTAAAAATGTGATGGTGCACAAGACCTTGTCATTATTAAATTTCTACTGGGATATGATCTGATGTGATGGTGCACTACTCTGTTGTCCATCTGCCTTGACTGCTTCACACAGTGGCAGACTGCAGAGACACTGACAGTGCCTGCTCCATGTCCAGAAGAGGGGATGGTCAGCTCCTGCCTCTGCTCCTTTCTCCTGAGCCACAGCCATGGAAGACACATACTCACCTGAGCTAAAAGGTAAAGTCTGCAACTTCACTGTTGAGCTACAGATCCCCCTGTACCTAAGGTACCTTCAGGACTAGCTTAATACTGCTGCTGAGCTATAATTAATGGGATGTTAATTATTACATTTGGCTAGAAAAGATGAGTGTGAGGAGCTGTTATCCAGGGCGTTCTGGCAGGAGGCAGCTGCGACAAGGCAGGTTAGGCTGTGAGGGTCTGTCTGGACTGTGGAAGAGCAGCCCTCAGTCAGGCTCCCTAACTCTACTGACTGCTCAGTCACACAGCCCCAGGGCAGCACGTTTCACCCTGAATTACAGTCTGCAACAAAAAAGGATTCTATTTGCTAAATATACTTCTGGGTGGTGGGCAAGGGCTCTCAGCCTAACACTAAGATATAAGAAATCTATATTTTTAGATTTGAGCAATTTGAAAAGCTTAGCTTTTCCACAAAGTGGGAAAACAGAAAAAAACCTGTGAAAAACTCATTTCTGAATGTGTTATTCTGTTATTTTTTGTCAATTTCCATTTTCTTTCTCCAAATATTTTGAAGAAAAGCAATTGGTGCTCAATGATTAAATTCTCTATTCAGTGTTTGCCACCTACTTGAGACTTTTATAAAGCTGTTTTTGAACCTCATTGCTGCTACTTCTAAGAGAGCTACACTTATGTAGCAGTAACAGAAAGATGTTAGTTTAGTTAGTCATGGAGCTTTGGAAAAAACAGAACAGAGAATGCAAAGGTAACTAAGAGTACAGGAAAGGACAAAACGAAGAACAGTAGAGGAGATTAACACAGATAACCTAGTGGAAGAAGTAACAAATATATTCACCAGTAGCAGGAGAGGATGCCAGCTACATTTCAGCTTTCATTCAAGAAGTCTTGTAGAACTGGGCAAAGTGCTGAGTCTCTGGCTACATGGCTTACAGAGCAGCTTCAGTGTGGATCTGTGGAACAGCAGGTTTTGTGGAGGGTCTTCAGCAGCGCTAGGCAGTCTCTGAACTGGAGTCTCTTTTTTCCCTCTCTCGTTCCTTTTTTCCGTTTCCTTCTCCTCCCTGGTTTAAAACTGTCTGTAGGGTGAGGCCATATAAACTTCTTGGATCCAGAGCATCCTGCAGCAAGTTACACTAGAGGTCTACTATCAGTTGGTGAAGAACCACCTCTTTTTGCACCTTTTGACTCGGACTCCATTAGTTTCAGTTGATTAGTTTTTTAAATTACTTTTTTTAATTTGGAGGAGACAGCAAAGAGTTATTCCTTATCAACTGTTTTCCACAAGCAGACATTAATGGTATCTAGCTGAGACTTTGTTTCAACTTTCATTTCATCTTCTGCTGCCTCATGACCTTCTCACTTCCAAATAGTAACTGTATTTACTTAGCTACCTTGATTAATAAAATGCAAGGATTTCAGCCAGCTTGTGCGGCTCTCAACAACCAGGACGGCAGGAATGTGGACACTACTGGGCTACCCACCAGCAATAATATTAACAAGTCCTAGGTGGTCTTCAGACAACTCAAGCCAAAGGGTGAAACAGTACTGCCTGTTTACATAAAACTTGGAGAAACTGGGTAGGAAACAAATGTGCTTGTTCATGACCCTCACATGAGAAATCCATGAGAATAGAAGAGTGTGTGACCAAAATTTTGCTGGTAACACAGGAATGTCCTAAAGAGGGATTGTTGTCTCCTGAATCTTCTCCTGACTTTTGATGCTTTTCCTCCAGTGTTCCGATGCAGGGAGATTTCTGCTTGGCATTACAAGGACAAGGCTTTTTAAGCTGCAGTTTTGCACTGCTAAATTGAGCAGCTCTTCCTTAAAGGGGCACTCCTGCCCCTTCCTCTCTTCTCTATTCAGTGCTAACCCTCGTTTTTAGCCCACTACAAGCTGATTTTCATGGAGTTAAACCTTCAGAAGTCTGCTTGCTGCCTTTTCCAGCAGTACCTTTTGCTGGTTTAGCTCTGTGTACCAGCTCACTCTGCAGACAGGAGAGTCCTGGTGTTGACAGGAACAGAACTGCCTGTTCCCACGGCACCTGTTAAAGCTCTGTAACTCACTATGAAATTAGCACTCTTACATTGAGATGTGCCATCTAACATTTATCTTCTCCAGCAGGCAAAGGTTATTATCCACAGGGATAATCCCAGCATTGTCTTTCCTTGCTCAAAGGAAAGTCCTCAAGTCCTCCCTGTACTGCAGATTTTCCTGTCTGTGCATCATCCTGGCTCTTCTGTCAGACGCTGCGTCTGCGCAGGACAGACGTGCATCTTTGGAACCCAAGAGAGAAGCAAGTGATGCTGACAGTGCCCTTGCCAAACCTCTAGCTGCACGGTAACCTTTCCCATCACTGCATTCAGCAGAAATAACTTTCCCATTTTTGGTACTCTGCATGCTGTTGCAGTTTGAGGAGTGACTATGGGGGCAGTCATGTAAAGCTGTGATGTCAGCACCATCACGTGCTGTATTGTTCCTGGGAAATAGATGTCGGTGACTAAGCATGAAAAAGAGAAATTCATCCCACAGAGGTCATTAATAACAGACCCTGGGTGTAACAAAGATGGTCCACAAAGGGAGGGGGTAGGGGCTGGGACTCAGGGCAGCATGGGACTTCAGGTGACAAGTCAGGAAAATGCTATTAGAAGGATCATACTGTAATTATCAAAATGCATCAAAAGAGGCAGCCTGCTGCAGCTGTACCTGCTGGCTTTTTGTGTAAAGTCAACTGATCCAGCAGTGCACAGATGTGGTAAGGAGGGTCACAGAGCTGCATCCTCTGTGTGCACTGGAAAACTAGCAGGTGTATCTTCAACTTCCAGGTGTCTTCATTTCAAATATGCCTTGGGACAATCTCTTGCCTTTACTGCAACCACCTAGAAGCCAAGCTGTGATAAATTCTGCAGTTACGTAAAATGGAGACAAAGCTCAGCTCTCTCCCTTGTCATTACACATTTGATTCCAAATGAGGATGTAAGCAGATCAGGATCTCATATATTTTCCTCCCCTCATTCTTTGTTCATCAGGAGCCAGAAACGCCGGACGCAAGCCCTTGCCCGCACACAGGTTTTAGCCTGTTGTGTACTGGATGGGTAAGAGCCCACGGCTGTGTTTCACCCCTGAGCGCAGCTCTCCGGCCTAGGCCCCCGCGGCCCGCCTTGTTTACCCCGCTGCCGCCCCAACATGGCTGCCGCAGCAGGGGCGCCGCCGCCGCCCCCCCGCGCTGACCTGGATTCCCCGGGGAGGGGCGTGGCCGCCGCCTCCGCCAATCGCCGCGCGGGGCCGCCTCCATTTCGCGCTGCAGCGCCGCTGTTGCGCAGCAGTCGGAGCCGTCTGTCGCTTGGGGAGGACGTATCCGCCCGACCGATCCGCCGATCGTCCGCCGCGCCGCACCGCGCGACCGTCCGGCTCGGCCTGCACCGAGACCCACAGCCCAGGTTCGTAAAAGTTCCGGGGGCTTCCCCGCAGAGCGGAGCGCGGGGGAAGCGGAGCGGGTGCGGTGCGGTGCGCTTCTGCTGTGTGCGCGGCCGGCCCGCGGACCTCCGGCCGGCGTTGTCGCCGGTCCGTTCCGCTCGGTGCGCGCCGCGGCAGGGTCGCTGCCGGAGGCGGGTGCGGCACGGCCGCCATTTTGTGGCAGAGCGATGGCGTTTGCTTTTCTTCTTCGGCTGGGGGGCGGGGCTAACGGGGAGGGGCAGCAGCTGGGCGGGGCCGGAGGCCGGGCGCCGGGCTCCTATTGGGGGAAGGTGAGGCGGTGTCCGCCCGCCGCCTTGCCATTGGCTGTTGGCGAGGGCGGGGCCGGCTGGCGCAGTGCGGTGCTGAGTCACCGGGAGGGCCTGACGCGCCTGTCCCCGCAGCAGGGCCGCGCACTCACAGCCATGAGCGGCTGCCGCGTCTTCATCGGGAGGCTGAACCCGGCCGCCAGGGAGAAGGATGTGGAGAGGTTCTTCAAGGGGTATGGTCGTATCCGAGACATCGACCTCAAGAGGGGCTTCGGCTTCGTGGTGAGTGCGCCCCCTCTCCCTTCCCCATCCCCTTAGTGCTCACTCGCCTTTGAGGTTTATGAAGCTGCTTCGAAAGAAAATCATTAATGAGCCCATCAAGGCACACCACGTGTGTGCATCTGCTCATTGAAATGTAATTGCTGGGTTTTGTTGTCTTGGTTCTGCAGGAGTTTGAGGATCCGAGAGATGCAGACGATGCTGTTTATGAATTGGATGGGAAAGAACTTTGCAGTGAAAGGTGAGGTATCTTATTTCATGGTTATACAACCTTGGGGATCTAAAATAAAAATCCATTTCAGTTTGTATTGTGTTATCAGTACTGGTCGAACTGTTTTGTTATTCATTGGTTTGTCTTTGTCCTGAGAATTACAACTGTGTACAAAAGAAGAAATATGTAAAAACACGTGTTTTGTTGTGTGTTTCTCTTCACAGGGTGACGATTGAGCATGCCAGAGCACGCTCGAGGGGCAGAGGCAGAGGGAGGTACTCTGACCGATTCAGTAGCCGCCGCCCGCGCAGTGACAGGAGGTACGTGCAGCTTTGAGCCAGTGCAATTTAAAAAAACAATGCCTTGGGCTCGTTTCAGAGAAGGTGAGCTGCAATGAGCTGTTAAAAGGTGTTATTTGCCTTTTAAGTCGTTTGATGTGGCAGCAGGATAGTGAAGATTACAGAACTTCTCAGATATGCCTGTCATCATCACGTTCCATTCCCTCCCTTATGTACTTAACGCCTGCCCTAGATTGCTCGGGCTTTTACATAGCTTAGGTCATAGTGCTAATGACGGTATGCTGATAGCAGCTCTTGGTACAGCCCTCGTTAATACTAACATGGTTATATTGCATTTACTGATAGAAGTCTGAATTGTTTGTTTCAAAACAGAAACGCCCCACCTCTAAGAACAGAAAATCGCCTCATAGTGGAAAATTTGTCTTCCCGTGTCAGCTGGCAGGTTTGTTGAAACATGATTAACTATTTTGACTTCATTTAATGGGTATGTAATGTAATGTAATTATTTTGTAAAATAATTAATTAAATTAAAATTTAGTTTATTAAAATGTTTATGTAATTAATTGATTTTTAGTAACATAACTTAAATATTTTGAATGAAAGCTAGTTAACGTTAATTCATAATAATAATAAACTTATATGTTTGAGGATATATATTTATTTTTTTTCTTGTTTTTAAAATCCATTTTAACCACATATTAAACCCTTTATTTGCCAGCCTATCTGTGTCGTTGGCCTTATGACGAGGAGTGCCTGTGGGTTATCCTAATCGTTCTGTCTTGGTCACTCTTGGTCGGGCCTGGTTGACTTTCCAGTCAGCTCCTACAATGTCACTTGGCCACCTCTAGATCTGTGTTTGCCGGTCTAGACGTAATCGATGCACTCCTTAAAGTGCCACATTGCAGCGGTCCCAGAGCGTTAACGAGATCTGATTCCTAAGTTGAGAGCTGTTCTTCCTGTAACGCTTCCGAATAACGAGGTCCTGGTCGAAAAGAGTTGAAAGATTGGAAATTAGGTGGTCGTTGGAATCCTGATCGCAGTAAAGTGGTCCTTGGTGACATGAAGCATAGAGAATGGATCCATCCATAGTCTCCTGATAGGGAGGGCAGTGCGATTAATGGCTTCCATCGACTGGGTAGTGTTCGGCAAGTGGGTGGCGAAGAGCCAGTCGGGCATATGTCATGACGGTATCTCCGGTCGCTTAATGCAGTTTGCTGCTTGGCTAGCCTAGGGAAATGTTTATAAAGGTAAAGTAAACTATATTTTTAATGACATATGGGGCACAAAATAATTGGTGTTATGTAAATGTAATTTTGTATTCATATAAGACTCGTAATGTAAATGGAGACTGAAATAGTCCAAAAATATATGGGTAGTATTTCAAAGTCAATTCAGTAGATATAAAAATGTGCTTTTTATTTCTTTTTTTCTCTCTCTTTCTTTCTCTTTGTTATTTAATCTATAAAATCATTTTAGACTAATATTTACCTTAATATTAAGACCCTTTATTAGCATTTTGCTTAAAGCAATATGCTTTTCTCATTTATTTCGTGCCCTGATACAGACCGTGATACAGATAATGCAATTTGATTACAAGTGTGGCAGTTGCCATGTTTGTGATTTATCTAACAACTTCTCTTTCAGTAGTCATAAGTTTCTTTTGTTTGCTTTAAACTACTTTTGTATAAGTAAATGTTAATTTCACTTCTTTGCATAACAAAAATGGTCTTGTGTTAGGATCTCAAAGACTTCATGAGGCAAGCCGGGGAAGTAACCTTTGCAGATGCACACAGACCTAAGTTAAATGAAGGGTAAGCCCATCAAGTGATCTCTTGAAAACTGTAGAGTAATCTGTATATGTAATATTTGGGGAGTGGACCTGGCTGCTTTCAGTGTCAGCAGCTGTTCATGGCTTAATTTAGCTACCCTTTGAAAATGCATGTGGGAAATGCTTGGGGTGGGGAGTTTTTCATGCTTCAGTCGTGACAAGGGATAATTACACTGAGCAGTTTAGGTTTTGGGGTTTTATTTGGTTGGTTTTTTCCCTGTGTAAGTTCTGCTTGTATTGGTAACTACGACTTGTAATAGTGGGCTTTGTTCGGTTTTTTTTCCTTCCTATAGGGTGGTTGAATTTGCCTCTTACAGTGATTTAAAGAATGCTATCGAAAAGCTTTCTGGTAAAGAAATTAATGGAAGGAAAATCAAACTAATTGAAGGCAGCAAAAGGCACAGGTACGGATTTCTACTCTATTAATAGTGCTTAAACGTTTCCTGAGAACCTTTGAAGTCAGCGACCAGGCAGCCGAGCTGGAGGGCTGTTCCTTGCCTGGTTACGGCCGTGCGGTTCCGTAGCTGGCCCTGACCGGCGCTCCTCTTGGCTCCTCAGTAGGTCCAGGAGCAGGTCGCGGTCACGCAGCAGGAGCTCCTCCGGGTCCCGCAGCCGCTCGCGTTCCCGCAGCCGCAAGTCCTACAGCAGGTCCCGGAGCAGGAGCCGGAGCAAGTCGCGGTCAGTTAGCAGATCTCCACTGCCAAACAAGAGCCAGAAACGTGCTTCTTCCAGCAGATCCAAATCTCCGTCATCCGTAGACCGGCAGAGGTCTAGATCAAGGTCCAGATCTGTTGACAGTGGCAACTGAACTATAACTAACTTGCCCTGGGGGCCCTTTTTTAAACCATACTTGCTAAAACTTGTGGTAAGTATGTGACTTTCTGTGGGAAAGGGTTTGGATGGGGAGAGGGGAGGGAAGGGGGAACTTTGTAGATGTGGACCATGGTGGGAAGGGTTATTGACTAATTGTATTAAATGTTTTTGATAACCCTTTTCTTGCTCACATTTTTTGTGAATGTCTGAAGTGTATAGTTTGTGTATATTGGCAGAGCTCTTTATAACTAAAGAAGACAAATTTTTTTGTACTCTAAAGTCATCTGAACACTTAATTCTCAGTATACTCAACTGTGAATAGCAGCTAAAAACATTAATGTCTCTGAGTAATAGTTTTAGACGTCTAAGAGAGCTCTATATGTGCTGTACATAAAGCTTTATTTCAGAGGGTATTTTTTTGTGCTTTTGAGACATTGTTTCAGCTATAGGTCAGCAGATGAAGTGCTGGTCAGTACTGGTAATAAAACTTTATTTTAAAATATTTTCATTTAATGACTTGCACTACACTAAGAAAACGCCCATTTCACTGCCCTGTGGTAATAATATTCTATAAAGCACTCTTATTTCTTGATACCTAAGAATAAAATAGTTCAAATAAAGTATAAAGAAACACTTCTGCCTCTACTTTGTTTCTTGGTGTTAATATTAAGTGGTTGTGACTGTGAACATTTTAAAACTTAGAATGGTTGTTAAAGATGGAGTTGTGCCCAAGTAATAACTGTTTTGGGCAGGGGTGAGAATTAGAATCCTTCTAAATACATTGTGTGATGTCCTTGGCTGTGTCTGTGTTCTGAAATAAGAACATGGATAATCAGGCTGTCACAGTTCATAGCAAAAAGTGGAGTGGATGAGTCATTGAGCTTTTAATGACTTGGGATAATAAGTGTGGAGTGATAAAGACAGATGTAGACAGCATTCTTTATTAGTATTTGTGCATGTTCGTATGAGAACACTGAGGTGTAGATAAACCATTTTTGTGAGGATTAGCCCTCATTCTGAGGGAAGAGAGATTTTTTAAGTTGGTGGGTGGGGGTAATGCAGCAGTACTGCCATGAGGTTCTGTGTTTTAGTGTTTGTGCCTTCCAGTGGCAGCAGTCCTCTGCAGTCCCTGTATTTCTCAAGCCCTCACAAGAACTTAGGAATTAAATTTTTAAAATAATGTGTTTTCTTATAAAGAGGTTTACAAAGCTATTCTAGTAATCTGTAGGAACCTTTAAAAAGGCTAGGCTCAGATTTGGATAGCTTGTAGGCAGTGCATGGTGGTTCCTCTAGGAGCAAGGTCTGGCCTTGTGGGAGGTTGGGCGTTTGGCCTTTGCAACCCTGCTGCCCTTTCTCCCCGCTGCTGCAGAGTTCTCTGGTGCCAAGCTGAGGAAGGAGGAGGAGCTCTTGTACTGCATGGGTCTGTCTGTTGGGGTGTCAGTGTGTTGGGCTGCCAGGCACTCCTGAGAGCAGGCCTGAGAGGGAGTAGGATCCACAGTTAAATGGGTTGTTACCAGTCAGCTTTGGGGAATGGGAGGCTTCATTCTCAGAGCCTTTGTGGTCGTGATGCTGGATCACCACAAGAGGTGTGTAGCAAGAGGGCTCTAACTTGCAGGGGTCGAACAGCATTCGCACTCATCAGGATGGAAGGTCAGCTGTGTAGAGATCTTGAGTCAGTTGATCTACTAACTTAGGTGATGATGGGCATCTGTGTCCAAGTGGGACTTGGCTTCAGCTGGAGCCCAGGTGGCTGAAGGCACTTGATGTGATGAAAGGGATCACAGACTTCTTTGAGGCTAAATGTGAGTATTATCTGCTCTATAAATAGTTGTTCTGAATTGTGTTTCTAGACTGCACCACTTAAGTGCCGTGCAAGCAGCACGAGCAGCTCCTCCATTTTCCCTGGGGAGCTGGCTGTTGTATGAGCTTTCTGTTAAACTCCCAGGCTTTGCAGTATGGAGGCTTATGTTGATTTCTGGCATAAGAAATTACAACTGTTTATATAAAGTAGGTTTTTGGTACAAACCAGTTTATTCTTAATTAAGATGAACTACTTTGGGTTACAAGGCATAGTCTGGACATTGGAGATGTTGATGCCAGTCTTTCCTGGTACTGTGTGTGTAGTGTGACCATACTTAGGTGGTGTCTAGAACAGTTATGGTGCTGAGTTCTCTGACCACTACAAAAGAAGGCACATTTAAGGTTCATCTGGTGTTGGAGGTACAGCTTGCTGGGCCCAAACTCAGCATACAAAGGCAGTTTGTGTAGCCATGATCACGGTTTGTGTGGCCTCTGCTCTGGGGGATCGGTGGTACCTGTTGGACGATGGGAGAAACCAACAGCCCGTGGGCTGCTTGGCTGTGCATTTGATCTCACTGGCTTCTGCATGGAGAAACTCACAGCTCATTCTGGGCCTGTTAGAGAAATTACATTAATGTCAGGATCTGCTTCCATACAGTTACAGGTAAGTGAAATTAAGAAAGGGAACTGATGTAGGCAGTGATTTTCTTACAGGTAAAATGGGGACAGTCACTTGGCATGTTTTTCAGCTGTCCCAAGGGGTTGTCACAATGACTTTGAAGTCACTGAAAGTCTCCTCCTTTCTGAGCTGACAGAGCGAGGCTTAGTCTGGAGCAAGGTCTTTGGGGAATGGCAGCGTGGGTGCAGATGGCTCTGTGACCGCTGTGAAGTGTGCGTATCGGTAAGTTGACAGAACAGCCGGACACCTATGAGCTGGCTGCGGAAGGTAGAGCTTGGAGGCTTGTGAGAGCAGCTGCTGTAGAATCCATATATTGTTTTCCTGGTTTTCCACTGTTTGTGCAATGTCTTGACACTGATTTCATTTCTGGAGCACTAAATATGTCCACACCTGCACAGATAATTTTTGCTCCATCTGAAGAAAGAGAAAAATGTGAGAATAGGCAATTCTGAAGCCAGGTTAGGGAAAGATTGTGACAGCTACAACTGGAATTACTGGATCATTTAAAACAAGAGGAAGGAACTTGGGATTCCTGCTGAAAGACTGAAGCCAGTTTGTTTCCAGTCATTTATGACCCGGAGGCTGGAATACAACCTTTTTGTTATAGTCTTGCCAGCACCTGCATATCTGTTTCCAGTATCAACTGCTTTGCTCTGAACATACACCTAAGGGTCCAAATGAGTGTGTGTTGTGTCCCCCCTCCGCCCTCCAAAATTAAATTGTCCTCCAGTCTAGCTATGAGATGTGGTAAAGTGATCCTGAAGCAGCTCTGTAGCAGCTACTCTGCTGCATCTCTCTCAAGGAAGTGGAGAAAAGCTGGACTGGCAGCATCAGAGGGGTGGAGGATCTCTTCAGCCATCTGTGCAGTCAGCTGAGCTTGGAATTAGGAACCTGCTGGAGTTGGAGAAGAGTCTATTCCACATCTGTACCAATATTGTATATATTTTAAAATGAAGTTTCAATCTCTTTATGTACTTTTCTAGCAAAAGACCCAAATGTTTTGTTCCTTTGGCTGCAGTATTTGGCAGTTCTGTCCTCTCAGGGAATCACTTAACAGCTTGAAGCAAAGCTGGGATTCTTTGCATTAAAGAATATGTTATGTTTTTGTGTAGTTTTAGCCACACGCAAACACCTCTGTTCTTTGCATATGCTCAGTGCAAGTCATGACTTTCACAGGGTGTCCACTGTAGCTTAGAGCACCAGACTGTGAAAACCTGAGCATTGATAGTTTTGATAATATGCAGCTGTATGAAACATCCTGCTGATGCAAGAAGTCCATGGAATTTCTAAGGTCTTCAGTTACCTCTGAATTTTTGATTCTGATTTGAATTTAATGTGCTGGGTATGTAATCCCTAGTTAAAGAGCAACTGGATTCTGCCTTTATAAAGCAGCGATGCATCAGTAGTTACATTGTAAGCATGTATGGTTTAGCAAGGAAAGTGTAAGAAATGAAGGAGCAAAGCTGTACTTGCCATTGGCTTGCTTTATTCTGTCGTGGATCCGAAAGACCAGGATGAGCAGAAATCCTTCTCCAAGCTGGAACAGCAAGTAGAGTAGTGGGAAGAAGTACAGGGGGCCAATGATCTCTGGGGCAAAGGCGACCTTGAGGATAGCTGAGCCAAGCTGTACGTTCTGGCAGCCAGTTTCCATGCACACTGTCCGCCTGCACCTGAAGGAAAAAAAATAGATTACGACTTAAATTGCTTTCAAACAACTGAAACAGAGCCCTACCCACCTTGCTGGTGCACTTGCCTGTGGCTAAAAGCTGCTCTGTCAGCAATCCCTAGAAGTTTTTGCCTCCTGCTCCATTGGCAATGGGCAGAGACAGATCGTGTTACAAACGTGAACTTTGTTCATAATGGTATCAGAGGCCTTGTGTCTGGCTCTGGACTCTGCAGCTTCCTGCAGGGAAGTAAGGAGGGTGGTAGGAGTCCGAATTATGAAGGTATAAAATAGGACTAGGAGGATTCCTACCTGGTTTATGTAGCATGAGGAGAAAAGGAGGAGCAGGTTTTATATGTCAGGTTCTCATTCTAAATTCCTGGGGATGCAGCTGAGAATGCACTGACTGATTTGAGGTAGTAGTCAGCTGGGGAATAATTGTGTCACTTGGGGTTTGAGCTCTGTTAGTATTTCTCAGTTTTTTGGGTTTGGGTTTTTTTTTTTGGTGCTAATAATTTCTCCCCCCCCGCTTCATTACCAAGGGCAGAGGGTGGTAATATGTTTAGCAGGTCACTAGTGACCTTAAGCCAAAACCATCCATCCATCCACTTGTTCAGTAAACTTTCCATGGTGATCAGGTGCCTGTGCCAGAAACACCTGCTTAGCTATTCCTCTCCTCTCAGTTAAACCATGCAGAGGTTAAAGTAATTTCTCTTTCCACTCAAGCTGTGGGAGTCACTGGCTTGGGACCAGCTTGTACTGTGTCTGGTTGTATTTCTAGATCCTATTTTGGGTGAATGGGGTCAGTGTTCTACAGAAGTATATTCCTAAAATTCATGTTTTCACCATTGCTCCGCAAAGCAGAGCTGCCAAACCTCTCTGTTCCTGATGAGAGAGAGGGGAGGGAGGTGTGGAAGAGCCATACCGGTCATCAAGCTTGAAGGCTGCAGAGACAGCGTAGCCCAGCAGGAATCCAGTGAGCGGCATTAAGGCAGAAGTTCCCAGGAGAGGTGGTGAGAAGACAACCATGATACAGCTTCCCATATTGGCCACAGACAGAACAATTATAACAGCAGATGACAGTAGAAGCATAACCATCCCTGCCTAAAAGAAAAGCGATTGAGGTGTGGACAAGAGAGAAATCCCCAGCAAAATTTGCCTCAGCTGTTAGAAGCAGCTGTACCCAGTTCTTTGTCCATCATGTGAAGTACACAGGAGGCATAGGTGCCTTTCATGGACATAAATGTTATCAGTAATCAACAAGAGACCATCCTGGGCTAGTACTGAGAGAGACCTTAAATAACCAAATACCTTTCTAGTCTATGTGCAAAATGACTGCTCTTGCTGCACAAGCTGCTTGTTTCTCAGGCATTGCTACTTGTCTCTGTCCAGGTCCCTTTGTGGCTCTAGTCTACCCCAAGCAGGTGCTGAGGAAACCACTTTACTCACAGCTAGAGCCTAGTGGAGTTCTTGAGTTAGACAATGGTGTATCTGGTTGTCTGGATTTCTGTTTTACTATTTAAATGCCTGATGTATAAAGGAGGCAGGGGCATGATTCCAGGCATAAGTGGGCACTTGGTGAAACAGTGGCCTCTGTTGGATAGGTATCTCAATGATTTAAGCAGGAATTTTGTGATTTGATTTTTGCCTTGTGCTAGACCTCTGAGAACAGACCTCTGGGGTGATTTTAATTTGTTTTGGGATAGTTATTGTTGTTTGGTTGATTTTTATCTGAGTTCTGCTTTGGTAGCAGCAGTAGTTTGGGGCAGTGCCTATGAGGTTCTTTAGTGCTGATGTAGCAAAAAATTTCCAAAGTTAAAACTGAAGCAAAAGGAGAGCAATGTAGGAAGTTGGCTATAAAATCTCTGCCTGGAAAAGATGGAGGACTTTTCCTTGGGCAAATATTTTAACCATTACAGTGGTAAAGCAGATGTCTTGAGCTCTAGGCTCAACCCTTTCATTGATTTGTGGCATGTCTTAGAGAAGTTAATATGTCTGTGATTCTATTTTTGAAAACTTCCTCAAGGCCCTTGATTGAAAGGCAGCTAGCACAGGATACTTCTTACCTTGGTGATAAGGCCAGTGTACTGTGGTTTCTTCTCATTCAAGATGATGCCGATGGCACAGGGGATTAGCATGAGCACCAGGGAGGTGATTATTCCTTTGTAAGGTACCTTGCCCTCCAAATCACCCTCATACAGTCCTCCCGAGTAAAGGTACAGAAGCAGTGGCATTAATCCAGTTGCCAGGACCATGGAGCATGCTGTCATTACAACACTGAGAAGAAGAAAGGATCCCTCAGTAGAAGAGCAACACTTTTTTAAAAAATGGAGTATGCTAATCTGATTACTTCCCTGGACAGATGATTTTAATAGAAGACTTTACCTTGCTTTTTCCCAACTTGTCTCTAAGATCTCCCCAACATCACTGTCAGATTGTAGAAGGATGTGATATGAATGGAGAAGGGAGAAGATGACTGAAGTTTCTTACATGGCTGAGAACATGTACACACATACCCATGACAAGGGTACAGTTCACATTTTAGAAATTCACAACTGAGAGAAAAAGTAATACTTTGTATTTTCCTGCTTGATCTTGTTTTATCACTAGGGTTTGCTGGAGAGCAGTGTTCTGCTAGTTCAATATCTCTCACTGATGCAGCCTCTTCAGGCAGCATGATCAGTTTACACAGAACTGCATATGTAGACACAGCATATATACATATGTATATATATATATGCTCTATGTACTGCTACGTGGAGATGAAAAAGTGTTCCTGCACCCATGTCATCAAGACCAGCACGCTAACGATTCAGAGAAAGGTACCCATTGTAAAACAGGGACAAATTAACTTACTGAGCACTATGGGTGCTTTACAAATGTTTTGGACTTAGTATTTCAGTCTTTGTCCAGCTTCTTGAGGCCTCCTAATGTTGATTAAATTATTTTCTGAATCAGCCATATAACTAGATTGGCCTGGACAATGAACAGGTACATAGCTTTCCTTACCTGAGGTTCATGTCCCCTCTCAGTGCCAGGCTAAAGATGTTGGAGAGGTTTCCCCCTGGGCAGCAGCCACAGATGAGGATGGCCAGGGATTCTGAGGTGCCCAGCTGGAAGAGCTTGCCCAATACGAATGCTGTCAAGGGCATGATACTGTACTGAGCCAATATGGCTATTGCCACACCTTTAGGTCTCCTGAGGTGAGCTGTGATCTTGGCTATCTCCATTGTACATCCCAGAGACAGCATGATGACAAGGAGGACAGTGATAAGGATTACATTCAGGGCTGTGTCCATAGCCTGCTGTCCAAATGCAAAGGGTGGTGCCAGACTGGTCAGGGAGGTGCTACTCTGCGTGCAACCTGGGCTCCAAAGTTCTGGGCTATCAAAAGCTCCCTTGGTCTTGTTCATGCTGCTGAGGGGTTTGGAGCTCCCTTCTTCTGTAAGTGAGGTGAGAGAAGGATTGATGCAGAAGTCCAAATAAAATTAAATTAATGGAAGCAAAACATGAGCTCTCTTTCAGGACACCAATCTTAGCCTTCAGCACCTGCTGAAACAGAAATCTGCATTTAGAGCAATCAGCTGTGAATCCCATTCATTCTGGAAATATCCTGTGCAGTTTGTGTATCTTCTGCTCTGGTCCTCCCCTTCTTCCAGCATCCACCCTCACAATGAGACAGCTGGTGAGAGCAAGAGGGAGACAGCTCAAGGTGGGTAGAGAAGACAGGTAAAGATTGCACTTCATACAAATGAAAATGAACCAGAGCTGCTCTCATTCACAAGACACGAGATACTGCTGAGGCCAATACTTGAAAACATGATGCATTAAAAACTTTGTTTTAATAAAATACATATTCTTCTGGCCATAAATAAAGCTTTTGATAGTGAGGTCTAGGAAGATATTACAACGTCGATGAGTAATTTCTCTTGTAAACTCTTAGGGGCCTTCATGTCTCTTTTCCTGATGTGCTGAATCTGACACTGTCTAGAAATTTTTTGGTTGCATATAGGAATTAATTCTCCAAGCCTTACCGACATTGAAAATATTATTCCCTTGGCACTGAGGGAAGGTTCTCCATGGTAGGTATCTCAACTGACCTCTGCAGTGCAAGGCTAGGCGCCATGGGCACAGCAGTGCTGCATTCAGGACCTGGGGTGTTCTGCATTGTGATCCAGCCAGGGCTGCAGACATCACGCAAACTCTCCAAGCAATGCCAAACAGGCAGCTGTTCCTCACCCAGACTGGTACCTGCCCTGTGCTTTCCGTGCAAGGCTGCACGGCGTGGCATGCACTCAGTCCTCTGGTGTTCCGGGAAGCAGGGCCTGGGCAGCTGGTGCTGGGGCAGGAAGAGGGACTGGTAAGGTGGTTGATCCTCCAGCTTCTGCAAGGGTGACTGCTGCTCATCCTGCCACTGCTCCCTGTCCCTGGCTGTAACAGGGGATGTGCTTCCCTGCACCTGCCACACCCTCAGGTGCCATAATTCCTGATCCCTCGGCAGATTTTGCCTTCATTTAAGGCATTTATTGCCTTCAGATTGACCTGAACCATCCCCTAGGTCAAGGGAGGCACTCTAGAAACAGCTGAGCATGTTAAACGAGAGCAAAATGCCTGCTGTTACCTTAGTGCCGGTGGATGTGGCTGTAGGAAGCTTTGGCAGATCACCCGCTGCTCCGTCCTTTCCTGGCTGGCCTTGGTGAGCGGCAGTACTCTTCAGTCCTCCTGCTTCAAGAAAATCCCCCTTGGTAAAATCCCATCCTCTGCTTGCAGGATATAAAGCCTGGGTCTAAAAGAGCCTCACAGAGAGGGAAGTTGCTGTTCTTTGGTAGTTGCACTAACAGGACTGGGGAAGGGATTTTAACTGGAGAGATTTGCTGCACTATGGCTGAGCTCTAATTCCTTTGCTGAAGGCTATTACGATGCTGCAGTAGCATGTCCATTGCTTCTATTCATCTGGGAGCTCAGCAGGCCCAGCCTCTTCAGCCCTATTGCTCTGGAAACATTGCTGGAGGCAGGCAGGAATGTCAGAGCTGTTCTCCGTGTTCCTCCGCACTTGCTCTTGCTTTGGTTGGGAACTTTGTTTTCCAGGCTGGCAGCCAGGCCGGAAAAGCACCAACAACAGCTCAGGAGGCCAGCACAGGCATCCCCATCGGGTGGGAAGGAGCAGTGCCTGTGGCTCTCAGTGGCACTGCACATCTATGCCCATGGCTTTTCCTAGACCTTTGTGAGCACCACACTGCCATTCCTGGGGACAAGGGGCCCTCCAGTAAGTCACAGGCGGTGCCTTGAGCCCCCGTGTCACTGTGGTGGCACAGTAGTGCCTTGGCTCGCTGCTGGGCTCTGGCTGAGCAGGCGGGGTGAGGAGGCCTGCAGCACTGTGTGCATTTTGATTTTCTGTAGGCACCTGCAAGACTACCAGGCACAAGCAAGGGCTGCCCAAGTAGCACATGGGCAAGAATTAAGATAAAGTGCAGGAGCAAAGCCCACAGCAATTCTTTAACTCTATCTCTCTCCTCAGGATTTTTTCCCCTGTGAATCCCCAGCTTTCCTAAATAAATGCTTGTTTTTCACCATGTTTGCCTTTCCACCGTATGCTGAATTTTGTAAGAAACACAGAAAGAGTCAAGCCAAACAACAAAGTGCTTATAAAGTGCTACTGCCTCAGCAGCACCTCCTCTTCCCCTAAACTCAGTGTAGCTCAGGTTTTTAAAATGACAGTGTTCCAGCATTGTGACAATGTTCTCACCCTTTTCAGGACTGTAGAAGAATGTTTAAATGACTCTAATAATTTTAAAAAATCCCTGCTAGTTGTTCGTTGTTCAAGCATTCCTAATGGTTCCTGGTAGTTAATGGAGGAAACATCACAGGGGCCAAGGAAGAGACTGGTTGAAGAAAGCAGAGTAAATTAGGATCATTATTTCACCGTCGTTCATGCTTGGACATTTACTTATTTGACGTGGGCACCAGAGCTGGGAGTTTGCATTTACGTGTGGCCAAGGAGCTGTATCTCAGCTATAAAGCTGCCGCTCCGCGCGGCAGGACCGGGGCGGTGGGATGGCTGAGGGAAGGCTGCAGGAAGCAGTGCGCTCCCACTGCGAGGGCGGCGGGACCTGGAGCCCGAGTGCCGGCCTTGCTTCAGGGGGGCCCCTGGGCAAGGCGCCTTCAGGGGAGCCCCTGGCAAAGCGCGCCTTTTCCTTCCTTTGGCCACTCCCTGGAAGGGCGCAGCTCCTGAAAGGTAAACTCCCAGGTGCCCTTACAGCCCTGTTCGCCTTTCAGTGCCAGCTGAGGGGAGCTGCAGCAGCCGGGCCCGGCGCAGCGCTGGCCCCGGCCTGGCCCCGGAGCCGCGGCGGGTCCTGCCCGGCCGGGGCCGCTGGAGGGCAGTGGTCGCATGCCCGGCGAGGAGAGCACACAGCCCAAAGAGTGCTGCCATCGCCTTTACGGGCTGAGACGCTCCAAACTCACAGGTACGGTCTAACGCAGCAGGCATCAAGCGATGCTTAGCAAGCCGGAGGCATTGAAGGAAGTGTTTAAAAAAAGAATAAGAAAGTGTATACGACTGTATTGCAGACTTGCTGTTGGAGCTCAAAATGAGCTCTGTTGTGGATTTTTTTTTTTTTTTAAGGAGTTAGTGCTTCATGCTTTCATAATGCAGCTTCATAAATTCATCTGATAAATATAAAATGGCTTATGTGCCTCTTTCAGTGGTGGGAGGCTGAAGTCCAATTTCTTAGTTTGCAGCTGAGATCATCATCTCTCCTGTGTTTTTGCAGAATTTAACATAACCTGAGCTCAGTCCAGTGGCTGCCCAAAGGCCCTGTTTCAGCAGATGTGCCTGGCAGGAGCAGCGGTGCTTGATTTATGTCAGATTTCACGCTGTTGGCCCACAATACAAGATGTATCTTTGACCTCTGGTGCCCACATTTTGCTCAGGTAAGAGTTGTGAAAACAGTGAGAACTGTACTGTTATGTGCTTGGCTAATCAGTTTGCTCATTTCTGTGTGATTTTGAGGCACTTTGCCCACCACAGCCCTGCCCACATACGGGCACTATGCTGGAGTGGGAATGGAACAAGGAGAGCTTCTGTAGAGACAATCATGGCTTGTCATGACTTGTTCCAGCTGTGGCTGAGGGCTTCGTCCCAGCTGGAGACCCAGGGTGGCCTCAGCACTGTCAGCCAGAGCATGCCCCAATTGGCCAGCAGTGAAAAAGAAGCTTGCTCTGATGCCTCTTCTCTGTCAGATTATTTTAAATTTGAGTTTGCTGGGCACATAGGCATTGTTTATACCCTGAGCAGTGTAGGAAACTCTGTAGAAAGAAATGCTGCTCCTGAGAGTGTGAGGTGCTTCAGTCATTTAGACCAACTTGAAATTGAGAGGGAATATTCAACACTGGTATGATTTCTATCATACCAGTGTTGAATATTCCCTCTCAATTTCTAGAGCGAGGCTTTCCACCAGCACTGGGAAATACCTAAGGAGCTTGGTGGGTGGGAAGGGTCCTACCCCATCCTTCCAGTGGTGATACTACGCTAAGGGATTTTAAATTACTCCAGACAGAGAGCTCTGGAGAAGGATTATGTTTATGTAGGAAAGCCCAGGTTGCTATGGATTTCTGGCTGCTGTGATGGATTTTCTGTTTCCCTGAGGAACCTGTAGCAGTGGCCAATGTGATGATACATGGCCAAGACTGTTGTCCCTTGGTGGGAAGCAAGCTGCAGGTCTGGGGCAGAAACTCCCCTGCTGATGGGTTGAGGGGAGCACTGGGGGCACCCCATATTCCCAGGTACAAAGGATGTCTCTGTTTTTCCTACCTCTGCCTGCAGTAAGAGTGTCAGTGTGGTGTTAAAGCAGGTTCACCACAAGGGCAGATTTTTTATGAAAAACTCTACAGAAGGAAGTCTGTTCATGTCTGTGATGTCTGTTTTTCTCTGTAGGAAGAGATATTTTTATTGTCCATTGTAGTTAGTTATTTACTATGCAATCAGTGGGTCTAGTTAATCTTGAATGTTGCATTTCTTTAGGGACCAGATGTCAAAGACAGCTTCAGAAAAATTGGACAGCTTAAGTTTTCTTGCAACTTTGATAAAAAGCTGTCAGCAGGACATTTCCCTAAACCTGTCTCCAATCTGTATAGCCTTGACTATTGCTCTTAGCTTCAGAGGAGAAATGAACATTGGCTACTGTTCTTTGACCTTTGCAGGGTGATAACTTTAGAGAAAATTCTGTGTTCTCTCTGAGTCATGTGAGAAGCCTCTGGCATGAGCTCGTGAGAGCTGCTGTGGGCAGCAGAAGGTTGCCCAGTTGTTTGCCTAACTTCCAGCTGTGGATGCTGTACACCTACAAAAGGCAATTGCACCTTCAGCTGAGGCGAGTGTGCTTATTTTGTATCAAATTTTATATTTTAAATAATTTCATTTGGTAGGCTGTGCTCAAGTTCTAACGTCATAGCTTTAAACTGCTCAATTAGTGACATGCACTTATCCTTCTTCCTGCATAATGAATATGAAGATTTAATACAGGAGATGGTTAGCAAAACGGCAAGTAAGAAATAAGGTGTTCAGGAATAGCCAAGGATTAACGAAAGCGTCTGAGACCCTTATGCATGCACAGAAGGGCTGGTGTGAAAGCCTGGCTCCCACAGAACACTCACTGGGGTGTCCTGAGGGATCCAGCCCAAGGGAGAACCCCAAGTGGGCATGGAGGACAGCAGGGATTCACAAGGCAGCATCATAGCTGAGGGGCACCTGAAACCACCTCCACAAGGATGTTTGAAGCCTGGATTGTCCTGGACTGCTGGCCAAGCTCTTGTGATCCACAGTCCATCAGCAGAGAAATCATAAATAAGTATCTGTGTGTTCAGCAGCACTTGGATATGGGGACCTGTTTGTTTACAGTGTGAGCTCTGTGAGTGCTCAGTGCCGTGGCTATGCCACTGCTTTTAGGTTTGGATTTGTGCACTCCATTTACTTTGTTCCCTTTTTCTTCAACTTGTACTTGTTGTGACTGGACCCTGATTCAGTCTGAAGAGGCAGGATGTGCAGAGTTTATGGTCTTCACTTGCAGGGCAAGAGAGCTGAACTTATTTCCTTGCTTAGCATTGTGCTGTAAGATGCAGGCAAGCCAATTTCTGCCTCTCTTCCACCATCCTGCTAAAACCCTGTTACTGCCTGCCTGGACTGAGCTATTGGCTTTTTTGCATGGTGCAGATGTGCCACAAAAATTTCAAGAGGACTGTTGAAAACCCTTTGCTTATTTGTGTACTTTACCCGTCTGCCATCTTTGGCAGCTCCTTAGGCCCATGTGGGCTGAGGTCTGTCTAGAACAGCAGCTTCTGGGTGGCTGGATCCTAGTTTGGGTGCCAAACACATTCCTATTCCTCATGAATGTTTTGCTGAGTTTCTGGGCTGGTGGAAAGCTTGTGTAGTGGGCACTGCTGTGTTATTGGTATTCCTGTGGTCAGCCCCTGTGCTTGGGGCCTCTCCAGGCACCCAGGCAATGGCAAGCCAAACCCAGCAGTGCAGTGCTTTTGTCTTGCTTTAATTAATTAGTGTAGGACACAACTATTAGCAGAGTGTTTTTGTTTCCATTTGTTCATTCTGACAGCAACCAAAGGAAGCCATTATCTCTGTGAGAGGATGTTTCAGCAAGTGTTATGGTAAATAAAGCTAACAGGATCAGTGCAAAGGAGAGGATCACATTCTCTTAAGGACAGCAGTCGATAATCAGGCTGTTACATGCCAAATCCTTTCAACAGGCATGATAGCGAGTTCACACTCAGATCAGCCTTTAATCTTGGAGGATCACTGACCTCTTTGCTGGCTGATATATTTCCCAGAGTCTACCTGCTCTGTGACACAGGTCTCCCTGTAAGTCACGCGGCAGTTCTTTCAGCACCTTCGGACACAAAGAAAATAAGTTGATGGTGCCGACCTGCCCCTTTTGGCTGAGACGTTTCTGTATGGGTCAGGCTACAGATGGAAGGCCAGTCTGGGCTTGACACTGGATGATGTTTAACAGCCTTCCCTGCTCCATGAGCAGCAGCAGCAGCAGTTGAGCAAACCATAGGGTCCTAGAAACTGTGTGCTCCTCTGGCCCCTAAGGCAGGCAGAGCAGCCTCAGTTTTAACTTTCCTGCAGCGCTTGGCTGCAAGCAGCATTGTTATTGGAACCAAAATGACACTGAAGACCTGTTCTTCATGCTGACAAATAAAATACTTAAGCAATGTGATATTGGTTAAAACATCTTAACATTTTTTTGTGCAACCCTGGAGAAAAATGACGAGACTTATACTGCAGGGTGTTCATTCTTGAGATCTCCATTGTTTCCTATACTCCTCATTTTAGTGTAAGTCTTTTGATCTTTGTTGCATGGCGCAAAGGTGTGTACATTAGGTGAGATACTCAATTCTATTTTATAAAAAAAAGAAGTTTGTAGCCCTCAGGGATTTGCAGAAAAGTTTGAAAATGTGATCATAAACTTCAGGAAGCCAGAGTGCAAGTAGGAAAAGCTCAAATGTTTATAATTTTCTGTAAAAAACAGAATAAAATGCCTTGCAGTTTTAAAGCTGTGATTCTCTGGAGCCTGACGCATAATTTTTGAGTATGTGGAGTTGGCAGTGCTGGAAAGGATGCTTTTCTCTCCCCAGATCGTATTTTTCTGCTGGGAATTTTAATTTCCAGCTTTAACTCTTTCTGCACCTTTTTCTTGGCCAGCCTCTCCTGCAGATGAGGAGCCTCCCCCATATCCGGGGGCTTGGAAGGGCAGCCAAAGGTGGTGACAGCAACCAGGATTCCCCCAGTGGCAGGGGCTGGGCTGCCCTGCCTTGTTGTGTCTGGCCACATCCTTGAGACGTGCTGGGCAGCAAAACCTCTCCAAGGTCTTGCAGCCTGCTGTCCTGGTGGGGAAGGCGCAGGGAGCTCACCAGGGGCAGGAGCACCCCTTGTCCCCCTCTCAGTTGCAGCCAGGGTGTGAACAGCTTGGCTTGGAGAATTATCTCCACCTGCAAAGCTTCCTGTAGGGATGTGATCTTCCCTGAGGACTCATGAAGGACAGGGGCTCTTTCCTCCAGGGGCTTGTTTGCACGGCTGGTGACTCCTCTGAGCAGGGCACAGAAAGGCATGGTGCCTTCCCAGAAATCCTGCAGGGATACAGCGACACTGCTGGGCTCTTCCCTCTGCTTCTCCCTTCCCAAGCCACCTCCCTTGGGCACTGCTCTTTCATATTTTTAGAAAGCACAGTTGATGTTTTTCAGCGCTGGCTTTGCACGTCAGCAGCCATTGCACAACGAGCTCTCAGGGGCCATTTATTTCACAAGCAAGGCTCATACCCTGTGACAGCATTTTCCGTCACCTCCTCAAGAGCACTCTGGGCTCTAGCTGCTTCAAAATGGCAGCTATTGTTCAGTGTCCCATGCCCTGCTTGAAACCAGGCCTCCCCCTGACACGTTTCAATAGCTCTTCTCTGTGATCTGTTTATCCCCCACGTGCTTTCAGGGGAAGTGGGGAAGGGCTCATTTCTGTTTTAGGGACCAATGCACCAACATGCTGCAAGCAGCCCCTTTCTCTGCCTCCCAACTTTCTGAGCTAGTCCTAATTTAATCTAGTATGAGCCCCTTGCAGAGCTGGAGGATCTGGAGGCTGGCCATGCTCACTTTAACAAGGTCTGTGCTGCATGGGCATGGACCAGCCCATCCTTTATAGAATGATGCCTGCAAAAGGGGAAGTTATTATTTGAATTTATTAAAAAAAAAATAAAAATCAGCCCTCTGGATAAAGGACGGCAAAAATGAGCAGCACTTTGTTTTTAAAGCTAGAGGGCAACTGTGGAGACTGGGGGAGAAATTTATTACCTTTGGTAAGAGAATTGGAAAGACAAATAGAAAACTTCAGAGGCTACGGGCTGGCTGAGCAATGTCTGGATGCCCTCCCTCAATGGCTGGGCTTGGGGACTCTATGTTAATATGGTGCACCCATATTAACATTGCATATCCATCATTTCCCACAAAAATATCTTATTACACAGAGCTTGTTTCTCCACCCCTCTATTGTAAGCACCTGCGAATCATGTGGGTCCTATGGAACCAACCTTAGCTAACCCGTGCCACCTCTAACTAATCTTTCAGGGCTGTGACTGTTTTCACATTTTCCCAGCTGGGCCGAGTGCCCTTCCAAATTGTCAGCCTGGTGCCACCCACACTGGTTTGTATTCCCTGAGAAATACAGATGTAACTATTTCAATTACAAGACACCTCAAAACCATAAATGTCTTCAAAGTTGTGAAGAATGCCCCAGTCTGGGACCACAATAATCCTGTCTTCCTAAATTTTCCCTTTATATTTTCCTGAATTTGCCTGCATCTGATACTTTAGCTGGAACAACGTATTCCATTCCATATGTGCTTCCAGCATGTGCACATCTGCATGGCACACTACCTGCTTCCCCTGGCATGATGGCCACACTTCCAGACCTTACCAGGACTCTTTTCTCTCACTAAAGCTTCTCTCTAGGAAACACTTATTTGGTTTGTCCTGTTCTTCCCTATATTTGCTCATCCAGTTTGAAAATAAGCTCTCCTTAACCCAGGATGTTATTCGTGTTTGTTTTGGGCTGGTTCAGGGTTTTGCTAGCAAAGAGGGCACAATTCTTGCAGGTTCTTAGAACAATGTGCTTTATTTCAGGCACAAGCAAACCCATTGTGTGTAGCATGTGCAGCACTGCATTCACCCACAGAGGTATATAAAGGGTAATGATAATGCTGCCCAGAAGGCTAACACATCAAAGGCCAAGGAGCAGTTAAAATGTATTATGAGCTGTTGGCAGTGATTGTGGGGGGTATTCGTGTGTTGCTGATTTGGACGGCTCGAGTAAATGAAAACCCTCTGGATTAATTGGTACACCAAAGAGATTGGAGGAAAATGGAGGCTGATGGAAAATGACAAACATGGGAAAACACAGATAGCTGGGTGCGCTGACCTGCTCTGGGGCACTGCTGATTAACTTGCAGCTCCCTACTGTGCCCTGGAAAGCCAGGCAGAGCTGGGGGTGCCCCGCCAGCAGCTCACCCAGCACTTTGGTGGGAGCACACTGAGCCCCACAGGCAGCATCTGCAGTGCTGCTATTTCAGCACAGCCAAGTGGGTAGTTAGAGGTGAGACTTACCAGGTGTCTTGTGACACCTGGACACCACGGGACAAGAGTTTAATTACTTTTAATGATGTGGGGTGCTGGGGGAGGGAGAAGAGGCTGTGTGGTGCCTGGTGTCACAGAGTAACTGAAGCTGGGAACTTCAAAATGGATTTGCCACGAGTCTGCTGGCTGAATGACAACCAGAATTGAATGACATGCTCCCATCTGTAGCTAGGATATCCATATTCCAACTACTCTTTTGTGGTTTATTACTGACACTTCAATTTTACATGAATGGCATCTAACACTGTAACCTAAAGTGTTACAGTGGCAGCCATACAAACTCCAGTTGTACCAGCTCAGTCACAAGCTAATGGAGCAGCTGGAGCAGGAGCACTCAACGCAGCACCAGGTAAGTCACGCCCTTACAGACCACCTGCCTAGTGATTGGGGCAGTATCCTCATGCTGAAGATGGTGGTCAGCTGGGGGTCTTTCATACATCCACACTGGGGCTACAAAAGAGGGTCCCTGTCTTCTTTCTGATCAGCAGCTGTGTTCAACAATGGGTTTCTAAAATAATTGTGCCTAAGCCAAACTGCCACAACTTGTGCTGGTATCAGTGATCTCTCATCTGGACATCACATGGCTCATCCTGCCAGGTACTTCTTCTGTCTTATCATGGTCTGACCTACTCATTGCTGACTCTGGTAGAGACACTTTTTTACTGCTAGTCTTGACGGGACACCTCCAGTTTGGGTGGTTTTCTGTTCCATTCTACCAGTTCCTCCTGCAGCTCAGGAGTTTGTTTCATTCCTGTACTCAACTCTGCACTTTGCATATTTCTCTCTTGCAGACTTGAGGAATCCTTGTCACGGGAAGAAAAGCACAGAAGGTGATGTGCCTCTGGTCACCTGGTGATTTACAAGGTCTCTTTCTTCTCTCATTATCATTTCAGGGCATGGAAGAGGGGAAGAAAGAGGCTGCTCTAACTGGCAGGTTCTCCCAACCATGTGTCCTTCCAGCAGCTATGTGGGTGTCATGGGGATTGAAGGTAAAATTCCAGAGGGGACTTTCTCTGTCCTTTTCCTAAATATAGTTATAAGAAGACTAGTCAAGTCAAGTTAGCAGAAAGACAGAGAAGGAAAATGTGTTGCTGTATGCACAGGTAGGATTGCTCCTCTTGCCAGGACCTTGACCCAAGCCTGTCAGGCTCCTGTCTTTTCTCCCAGCTCATTGTCACAGATTATTTAAAACATGGCCCAGCTCTGCAGCCTCTGCCAGTACCCATCCCACTGTCCTTCTGCTGGCAGTCCCCTCTTCTGTGGGTGTTACAGGAAAAAATCTTGCCTTCTACTTGTGTCGGGGGGCATTGTAGCAGGGTGGGAGAACACATTTTTAATATAGTGAGGCCATGAGAATGAGCATCACCAACTTTTTGTCTGACATGATTTTGAAATATTCCTTGCTTTTCCCATAAATCCAAGACATATATAAAGAATCTGTTTTCAGTCTTGAAACTGAAGTCAAGCATCAATTTTAAAATCTATTTTTAAAGCAAATAGCAATGTAATTTATAATGTTAAACTTAAATTTTTTAAGTGCTCTCATCCTTGGAAAAAATAGAACACTTCATTTTTTGGTGACTAATGATGAAGTGTTTTCTAAAGGTGACTAAGCATAGCACAAAATGTCCTAAATATATTTATTAGCTTATCAAATGTAATTAATTGAATTTGGTTGCAAATGGCTATGACTTTGTAAGTGAAATGCACTTTTGGTTAGCTAGACAGTTTCTTATCAAAGAACAAAAAGCCAACATTAAAACATATGCAGCTTACTGAATAATCATGTTATTTGTCAGACAAGCAGAAGTATCATCACTGAAGTGTTCCCAAATGCCAAATTGGATAATACACATAATTAGGCCCCATTTGATTAGATATGTGCCCATGGTAACAGCCACACTCAAGATCCATATATTAGTACAGTCTTGAAATAATTTTCAAGGGGAATGATGGCAACATCTGAAGCTTCACTGAGGAGACTTTTGGAACCTAACCTATGCACCAATTTTCTCTGTTCCTGTGGTTATTCTTTGTCTTATTATCTTCTATTTTTAAAACAATGCATACCTTGGTTCTCAAAGGGGATATACTGCTTCCTTGAAGTGTCAGTACACTTCTGTCCCTACAAGGAAGATCTCTTACTCATCTTCATCGCATAAAGCCTAAAACCTTCCTATATTTAGGGATGAAACCCAGCAATTGGCAAGGCTGCTGCAAGCTGTTTCTAGGAGGTGGCAACAATCATCACCTGGAAGGCAGCCCCTCTCAGATCCACTGTCCAGCCCGGGACTGCCCGTGATGGATAAAGTCTTCTGTATGTTCTTTTAGCCTTTTGCAGGAGCCTTATGAAGAAACTGCAAAGTCTCAGCAAGAAACTGATTTTGCATCAGATACAAGCCTCAGAGAGCCTGTAAGCCCTGAGCTACTGCCAACCCACAGGGAAAGAGTCCAGAGGGTACAGTTTGGGCAGCCATGGAGTGCAAGAGAGTGTTCAGCTGTAGATGCAATATGAATTGTCCCTGCAGTTTATTTTTACATGCTTAGAGGGTGAATGAGTTTGGAAGTGTTGGAGAGAATCAGATAATTAGCAGAATGAAATATTATTATGTGTTATTTATAAAAAAAGAGAGAAATATATCTCCTGGTGTAACACTGTATATCCAGGGATGATGATAGGTGCTGCTTTTGCAGAAATGCCAGCTGGGAAATATTTAAAGGAAGGTTTTTTCCCTCAATAAGGAAGACACCAAGATATAGAAAACTCTCCCAGATGAAGGTACCAGGGTATGACTGGTCTATAGCAGGGAAACTGAGGCAATGGGTGCTGAGAGTCTGGCAGGAGAGGAGCTTAGAGTCTCAGTCCTGGCCAGTTTGGTATAGAGGGCTAAGGTGTATGTGGCTAATCTGGCCATGTCAGCTATGCCACCAATGCAAGAGAGCCATAGTGGACCCCTTACAGTGTCCTCAGCTGATAGGAACAAGACAGGACCTGGCACCAGGGAACTCTGAAGATATGTCATGGAGAGGAAGTCAACACTGAAAGACTGTGAAAAATAAATGTACAAATATGTTTTAGAATGCATTACAGCTTTTAGAAAGAAGAAGGCTATCCTAAGCAAATGGGAAACAGAACAGATAAAAAGCTTTGGTGGGCAGAGTGGGAGCACAGGGGAAGATTTTATTCCCTGGTTTAGCTGTTACTTGGCACAGAGAACTCCTGGGAGCACTTCCTCTAAGGGGCCAGTGACACAGCCAGCCATATTTGTAGCCCTCAGCTGGACAGCAAGGACACTGTAGGAGAGTCCATACAAAGTCATCAAACTGTTACTGGATGCAGCGTTAGGATTACACTTACTGAGATGAAAGTAGATACATGGATCCACCTTGGGCATGCAGTGCATGATTAGGAGCATGTCATCTTTCTCCATATTAGCATGTTCTTAATTATGCTCAGGGGACTGGATCCTCAGCAATATAAATTAACATCACAGGTCAAATTATGCTGAAGTTGTGAAATTCCTACACCCTTCCCTCTTGTTTTTAAGTACATGCTGGTTTTAACACTTGTTCCCAAAACAGGGGCTTATTCAAACCAGTTTCTTGTTATTCACATCAGCACCAAATTATGAGGTCTGAAATTAGTCAGACCAAACCCTGGCTCTGCCCTGGAGGAGAGCAGGAGGACTCTAAACTAGGTTGTGTGTGAGCCCTGTGGTGATGGTAGAGATGGCTGTGCCAGCCCTAAACACCCTGTTTAAAGGTACCTTGTGGACAGCCACCACCTGTGTTTGACAGTGCACTTGTACTGAATATGCCCAGGCATTTGGGACCTCCTACAGACTGAAGGATATTCTCTGATCATGGGGCTGGTGGTCTGGCAGCTCTTTGGTGGTGAAACCAGCCCTGAGAGAGTCCTGGGGGTGCCACTGAAAGGCATGGTGGATGTGCTGTGTGTGGGAGTGACAGTGCTCACACACATGCATGTACAGGCAGTACTGGTCCCTCCTGTGATAAATGGCTCTAACTACAGCTTTATGAAATTTTGAATTTCTGTTTTTCAGAACAGAACAAACTGGGGCAAAAATTAGGAAAAATTATTTCCTGGAATTATAACAGTCATGTTCAGAAATGTTTCCCTGTTCTGTTTTGACATTTTTTTGGATCAAAGTGAAGCATTTTGACATTTCTGAGGTAGGAATGTTTTGTTTCAATTTGTTGAACTGACATGAAATGTTTAGTTTCAAGTCTGCTTAACATTAAAATCGGCAGTGCCTTTCCTTGGGTTTGGGTCCCATTCTCTCCTCTGGGCTGTGCTCTTGGGAGCTCTGCCCGGCTCCCATAAAGCTTGGGCAAGGTCCACGGTGTTCTCAGTGAGTGCTCAGCCACAAGCCCCATGCACAGGGAAAAAAAAAAAAAGGAGGCCTTTTTGGGAAAGTTCCTTTCCATGCTGAACTCAGCTGAAATGAAAAAAATTGTGGCAGTTGAAGCAAAGAGCTTGGTTCCAGTTCACTGCGACAAAACATCATTTCTTGTCAGCAGCATCCCTGTCTTCCCACAGGCACTTTGTGTGTTGCAGAAACTGTTAGGTGTTGATGTGATCTACACCAATAAGCTCCAGAAGGTCTGCAGGCTGGATGTAGTGGAGGAGCTGCCCTTTGGTGTTGGTTCAGCAGATTTCCCAACAAGCTAAAAACCCTTTTGCCTGCCTGGGGGCTGGCTGGGGCTGGGGCAGCCTCTGGTCCCCAAGAGAGGTGAGGAGGCTGCAATAGGGACATGAGTGTCTCCTGGGAATTCAGCAGACTCTGCTCTTTTCTGCAGGTGGGTCTAAGGTCTTCCTGGGATTTCTGATGAAATTTACGTAAAAGTCAGTTCAGAAGTTTCTTTGGTTCATTCTCAACAGCTCTTTATAGGATGAAGCAGATCCTACTACTTACTGTGAGGGATAATTGAACTCCTTGCCCTCCCCCTTTCCTGGGCAACAGCTTCAAAAGATCTCTGATTTTGCTCACCAGTCAAGCAATCTCATTTGCAAAACAACTGCAAGGGCCCTGCAAAAGCAGAAGGACAGCTCCTTTGTTAAAGAGTGCTTTTTGGTGACACAAAGGAATCATAAAGGTGATGGAGCTGCAGACTGGACAGCCACGTTTCCTGGACTGTGCAGGCTGGCCTCCCTCCCCCTCCCAGCTGAAATTTCAGACCCCGAGTCTAAGGATTATGCAAGGCTCGAGCCCAGTGAGAACAAGATGCACTGCAACTATTCTTAGCTCCAGAAATTATTCCTGGCTCTGCTTTGAAATCTGAACCAGGGTTAATTTCTCTCCCCCTTCCCCCGGCCTGTTTCCTCTCCTCTTTCATGTACCTATTTGCATAGACTGTCATCGTTAGAATTTCCATTAAAATTGAAAGCCTCCTTCCTGCATGTCACCTCTCGCAGCCCCCTTCCGCTTGCCCTGTGTGACTTTTGGAGGGCTGGAGAGCAAAGGTCCTGTGCTAGCATCGCCTCTGAGCCCTGCCTTCCCCTTGCCCTCTAGTCCTGCTCCTCTGTTGCTATAGGAACATCCATCAACTTGGGAGTGCCAGAGAAAAAGAACAGAGAGTTATCGTAATTATTTAATGATTGATTAATATATGTTTATAGAGCACTTCAAAACAGTGCATAATTTTGTGAATTGTTTATTAACTGGACAAGTAGTATCATTTGCTGAACATCCTCCACTCTCATTGTTTCAATGGGAGGAAAGGGTGGTAGACAGCTTGCAGGTTTTGTAACAGTTATATTACTAAGACTACTAGTAGTTCTGCTTCAGGAAAATAATTTAAATCAAGAGCCTTCAGCTCAAGTTTTCATAGTCAGGGCTGCTCTCAACACCTGCCATTAAGGTTACTCAAACACCTCCATTATAAAGACCTATGTTCAGCTGTTCTTTGGCAAGTTTCACCCACCTGGAAAGGCGGCTTGAGTTTACTTCTCCTAAAGGCTGAATAA